GGGGGGGGGGGGTGTGGGATGTAAATATATCATACACTGTCAGGTTTTTTTTTAAGCTGAAAGGGACTGTTCACTGTAGACGTTATTTCAAGAGTGACTGTAAACAGAAAAAAAATATCCCAGCAAATTTTGTTTTTAATATTGAACATTTTTTTGTTGCAGGTTCTCCGACTAAGTGATATGCAGATTTAAGGCCTGGAGACATGAACTTAAAAATTGATCTTTATCTAAATGAAACGGCAATATCATCCTCATAACTGCAGATTAATGTTTTAGGTTCAATAATTTATCGGCTCGCACGTAACTTGTTCTGAGAAGGACCATTTGAAATTACGTCTATATAATTTTTCGATGCATTCGCATATTGATGATATTTCATAATATTTTTGATTTTGTATTTTATAAAATAATATTTAGCTTACAACTTTTTTTTAAGGCTGGCGCTGGATTTTCGAACATTCCTAGAAAATATGAAAATGTCGTCTTTATTATCAAAAATCCTCGAAACAGGAATAAATGTTTTCAAAAGTTAAATTCAGATCATAAAAAAGGAAAAAAATATTATGAAATATGAACTATATACCATACAAATGCGTCAACAAATTATCGATGATTATAGGTTGTAATGTCGTAATGAGTTGAATGTCGCAACTTTCTGAATTTGTGTAAACGCTACATCCTTCAGTATGAGTAGTTTTTAACAATTTTCTTCTTATAAACGCAACAGATTGAAGTAAGATTAGTAGCGATCACCATCGAGAATTTTTAAACGTAAGCCTTAACCCCTTTAATTTGTCTCCCTTTAAGTATTACTCAAAATACAGCTTACTAGGGATAATGTGTATTTTGTAAACACAATAGATTTTGTTGTATAAAATATATGAATAAGATATGTAAGGTTGATATGAGTAATGTATGAATATACCTGATCAAACAAACTTATCTTTTCATGATACACCAATATCAAATCTTTACACGACGTGGTGCTTATCTCTCTCAGAACAATAGTATTACCGAATACCTTAAAACATATTCATATAAATCTTCTTTTCCAGCAGGAAATGTTATTACAGTGATATCTAGAAAACTCTGGAATAGTATGACGACTTTGAGAATCAAGTTTTAACTTTAAAAAGTTCATTAACCATGCAGTTTAAACAGACCGATTTAACCAAAAAGTAATTATATAAGTGTCTGGTAAAACTATTTGCTTTTTAACAACATCAAATACACTTAAGTATTGCTAAAATGTCGTCTTTCTATTCCATTGTTTTATGGTTATCACTATATTATGGTGATTTTTCATTATCAAAATTTGTTTTGATTCTAAATTACTAAAAAGAAACAGTACAGATTAAATGTGTTGAAACAAGCTAAGAATATAAAAGAACTATACACGTAAATTAAAGTGATCCTCCAGAAGATAGAGTGCCAAAGCCGATTCTCAACCGTACCCATCCTATCTTTGCCTGATCAAGAATGAATTAGATATTCATGTTTTTGTTTTAAACACCTGATCACATTCATTTGTGGTTTCTCAGCATAAGTGACTTGCGCATTTCTTGCTTAAGAAATAATAGAGAAATTATTATAATTAAATACTTTTCATCGTAAAAAAAAGCATTATCTTCCACTTTATCGATCAGATAAAGCTTTTGTTATTTGCCTATTGTAATTTGTGATTTGCCTATTGTAATTTGTCTATCTTTAAAAAGTATGGTCACTCCAAATTACACCGATACTCCCTTTAAGTTTAAAAACATTATGAAAATATTATAGATATATTTAATGATTCTAAAATGTCAGGTTATGGCAAAGCCGTCTTAAATTAAATGTACAATACGTTTAAATAAGTTTTTTTTAAATGATTTCTAGATTTTTCCTTCATAATTTGGCTTTAAATTTTCCAACGCTCTATATACTGTAATATTTTTTTAAACTCCTTACGCGGTCTTAATTAAGCAATGAGTAATGCCTCCCCCCCTTCTAGGTGAATCTTATCTTACATAAACAAAAAAGTTTATCACCATGAGTTCTCACACTGTATTAGTACACTTTTAAAAATTATTTTTCTAACGGAATTAATTTCAGAAATTGTATGAGTTATAAAACAAAAGTGAAAATTATAAAATCAAAGAACAGTTGTTTTTCAAGTTAAACTCCTCTTCAATATGAGGAACAAAATGTGGATCCTATTCATTAGGTGAGAAATGAGAATTTGATTTTAAAAGGATTTTTTTAACGGAACGGATTTAAATTAATTGCCAGTCTGAAATCATCATCATTGGAGTACTATTAAAATATTGGGGTCTCTGGGGATCTCAAACAAAAATCTGGGGGTCTCCAACGAAAATTTGAGAGTCTCCAAAGAAACTTTGGGGTCTCAAATGAAATCTGGGGGGTCTTCAATGAAATCTTGGTGTCTTTAATGAAAAATTAGGGTCTCCACATGGGGTCTCCAACGAGACGTCCATGGGGTCTCAAATAGCACTCAAATTATGATGATTTCTTCCCAGACTCGGTTATCCGATCTCTATTTGGTCAAATCTCTGAAAACTTATCCAAGCTCATGAGTTGTGTCTATTGATAAATAAGTTTCAAATTACCAAGAAAATTTTAATTATTTTAACAAATTAAATCAATACCGTTTTATTCATTAAAAAGTTTCCATGATTGGAAAGTTAATTTTTACAATGGAACTTTAACTCATATATGTATGACACCAACGCACCAACTAAGGCACACCAACGACATTGCACAATTTCACATTATATTTAAATGAACAATTTTTTCAGTAGTTATAATTTATAAGTTTGGCTCAAGTTTGTGAAACTTCTTTTGTCATTTTATTTCTTAACAAATATGTATCCTTTGCTCTCCGAAAAGTTAGAACTAATGCAAGTTCCTCAGTGGTTTAAAATTATATTAACTATATATTATATATTATATATTATATTTTTTTTTAGAGTAAATAGCATTCTAGTTTTAAAAGCTGGTTTTAGATAAGAGGTTCAATGAACATTATTACATTCAAAAACAGCTTTTTCTTAAGGAATATTAAATTTCTTTTTTGATTTCCTTTTCTGCTTTTTTATTTTGATACTTAGAATTCAAAAACCCATTTAGGAACCCAAGTAATTAAAATTTGAGGCTAATCTGTCAAGGGGTTCATGAGTTATGATCGAACATCCTAACAAACAGACAAAAAGAGATTACTACTTTATATATATACAAGGATTTCAGGGTGCTTCGCGCCCATCTTCTATTTCAATTATAAACATTTTCTTTTTGTGTACATTGTAAAACGAAAACAATAAAAAAATTCGTGGATTTTTTAAAATTTTGTGGAAATCAAATTTTGTTTAGGCTTATTTTTAATTTTGATCATTTATAAACCTTACCTAGGGTCTTTTGAGGTCCCACAAATAATTTGGGCCGGATCAGGTCAGCCGTTTTGACGTACGTTTATTGGATACAAACAAACACCCACCCAGATAGACCAGCACAGTTTATAGATAATTGTTGATATAATGAACTTAAAACATTGCTTCATACTTCAAAAAAAATAAGTATTAAATAGGTATTTGTGTTTTAAATAGAAATAAGTTCACAATTATCATCGAAAATGATAGGGCACACTTACCTATTTAACTATTTAACTAAACTATTTAAAAAACATCGTTTTTTTCCAATTTTTTAGCAATGCTGATTAAAAATAGATAAATCCTTATCTTTAAGTGTGTTTTAAAGCTTTTTATCAATCTAAAATTATTTTATGGTTCATTAAATAATAACCTTGTTTTTAGTGTTTGCCTTCTCTCCCAATGCAGAGGTCAAGGACTAAACCAGGGAACAGGATCTAACTATGGTAAGAGTTGAAACTAGTTTTAAGTTTAGAGTTAAAACCAGTTTTAAGTTCAGGTTAGAGACCAGTTTTAAGTTGAGATTAAGTTGAGATAAACCCAAATTCTAGGTGAAAAGTGAAAAAATCAGTTTTAAATCGACAGTTAAAACTATTAAATTGAAAGATAAAACCAGTTTCTAATTAAAACTAGTTTCAAATTTTGAATTAAAAAATAAAACCAGTTTTCAATTGAGAGTTAAAACCAGATTCAAATTGAGAGTTAAAACGAGTTTCAAATTGAGAGTTGATACCAGTCTTAAATTGGAGTTAAAACCAGGTTTTAAAAAAGAGTTAAAACCAATTTTAAATTGAGAGTTTAAACCAGTTTTGAATTAAGAGTTAAAATCAGTTTTAGATTGAATGATATAACGCCAGTTAAAAAGTTATAGTTTACCCCAGTTTTAGATTGCATGAGAGTTAAAACCAGTTTTAGATTGCATGAGAGTTAAAACCAGTTTTAGATTGAGTATTAAATCATATTTTAATCTCAACTTAAACCAGGCAAAACAATTTTGCAATGAGAGTTTATTAAGCTTACAATGAGAATATATGCCAGTTTTATAACATGAATTAAAAAACACTTTATAAATCAAAGTTTAACCCAGTTTGAAATGTAATGCAAAACCAGTTTAATATTGAGAATTAAAAGCTGTGGTTCACAAAAAGAGTTAAAACAAGAATAAGAATTAAAGTGTGTAATATAATTGAGCATTTAAGCAACTATTTAAAGCAATACAGTTGTTGGCGATTATATTAATACAATAAAAACAACTTTCGATTTCAATTATGATTTATATCAAGCTATTTTTAAACAGCATGAATACACATAAATATAGAAGTAAATAGAAGCTGTCAAATAAAAAAGCTTCTTTTTGATTACTTGTAAACTTGTATTTCCAAAAAAGCTTGTTAACAATCAAAACTTAAATAAAAAAGTCGTCTTCATTTTATTTATATAATCGCTACCACTGTTTCAAAATCAATGAAAGTTAAAGATTGAATGTCTTAAACTGAGGGTTTAAAGAAGAGTTTAAGCTCTGCGTATTTTTTTCATTGTTTACGCTTTTTTCAGTTAAAACTTAAACATGCTTTTTTGTGTGTGTTATAAAATTGTTTCTTTGTTCTCATGATAAGAAAAGTAATTCAACGCAGTTAAGCTTCTAGTTTAATATGTATGAGACTTTTACTATTTGCATTGCAACTTAGGAGTTTGGTCATGTACTGAATATTACACTTTAAAAAATTTTCATTTTAAAATGTAAAAAAATCATGAATTAAATTATATTTCATGCTATAACATTACTAAAAACTCCGGTTCTTTTTAAGTAACTCGATATGCCAGATTATGGAAGATAAACTGGTACATATTTTACATAAATTTAACTAGAAGAGGATCGACATTCATCTGGCGTACAGTCCCGTTTTGCCCGATATAGCCTGCAGTTGTACTGTACTGCTTGCCTGCAGGTTACTTGAAACTCGGCCCGGAACTTGAAATGAACTGGAATGTACCGTGATGTGTGGTTCACTACCAATGGAATGATAAAACGCATGTTTATTGTATTTAAGAAAACACATCATTATTGAATTTAAAATTTGATATTGTACAGGAAAAATAAAAAAACACTTCTTTGAAGCTTGACATATTTTCTAATCAGACCCCTGGCAGTCACGTGCTGCTCCTAGCGGATTTTCTGAGAAGTATACAGGAGACGGATACCAGGGATATGTCATCACAGCTGATCGACTTAAAGATATCAGGGAAAAAGATTTTTAATTGATAAATTAAAATTTGTTCTAGAAAAGTTATAAAAATTTAATGATTAAAAAATTTTTTATAATAAAAGATACAAACTGTAAAAAAGTTTAAATCTTTTTATATAGAGCGCAAAAAATGTACCCGTTCTTTGACCAAGGAGGCAATGATGGTAATGGAGATTATCAAAAAGATATTCGGTGAGTGTATAACACAAAAAGTAAAAGTGTTCTGCAGCAGCTCATAATCTTATCATAGTTCGTAAGCCTGCTAGAGATGGGAATTGTTTTTGTGAACTAATGAAATTTTTTGCTAACGATAATTTCGAACGACGGACGATTGACTTAATGTGCTCAGAGAAATGAAAAAACGAAAAAACGAACCTGAAAAAAAAAACAATAAAAGTTCCGAAAGATTTTGATTTTATTTGAAGAATCATCGTTTCCTTACAGAACAAACAGTTTTTGAATTAAAATTTTTAAAACCAATAAATTGATTAAAATTTTTTTACACAATCGCTGTTTTACTGAAAAAACCATATTAATTTACGATCGTTCAGTGAAAAAACGAACAAAATAGATGGAAAATGAACCAATTATTTTGAGAACGAACGAAATATTTTTTTTAACGATTGAAAAAGCGGAATACGCCTACACGTGCACCCTACTTTGAAACTTCATAATAATTTCATTAAAAAATAAGTAAAACAAAATACTTAAACATCGGTTTTTGCTGCTTAATCTAAATTTATTTATCCTCTTTGTTAAGAGAATAAATTATTTAAGTTATTATAAGTTATTATGGTATTACTGTGACAAAATTATAATTTATTATTTGTGTAGTGACACTTCGCCGCAGATCAACAAGCAAGTTAATTTCCTTCTGCCGTTTATGGGATTTGGATTCAACTACACGTGGCTAAGTTTGCACGGTCATCTTTCTTTCTCCAACACTCCAATTCAGTTCCCAGAATATCCTTTGAAGTTCCCAATTCAGGTATATATCAGAACATTATTAAGCAACACAAATCAGGTTGTACAAGGGGGGAGGGGGTGAACTACTCGCCCCCTAGATATAACATCCGGTGGGTTCTTGGGAATATATAAAGGAAGGTCTTATACAAAGGTTGTGAATATTGAAAATTGATTTTCTTAATTTGAGGGTTTTCAGCATCTGCAAAAAAGTTGAGATATTTTCAAAAGCTAGCAAAGCAACTTTCAGTTTTATTATGAGGGTTAATTTTATCTTCTTAAAAACTAAGAAATTATCAGGGTATGTAGTAAAAATTTAATTCTTGATTCTAATTTTTTTTAGGATTGGCCCAGAGTTGAGGATCCATCATTTATTGGACCTTTTTACTCCAGGTAAAAACAAATATTGATCAAAAATAAATAAAAGTAAAATGGAAATAATTTGTTTGTACTTTTTTTTACCAGAGTTTTTAGAAATTAATACTATGTAATCAATTCATATGTCTTACCATAAACACATTCTTAAATCGTAAATTTCGTAAATTATCATAGGTGTAAAATCGTAAATTTTGTAAAATCGTAAATTTTGTAAATTATCATAGGTGTAAAATCGTAAATTTCGTAAATTATCATAGGTGTAAAATCGTAAATTTCGTAAACTATCATAGGTGTAAAATCGTAAATTTTGTAAATTATCATAGGTGTAAAATCGTAAATTTCGTAAATTATCATAGGTGTAAAATCGGTGAATTGAATGGAAATGAAGTTGATGAATATGCAAAAAAGAAACCCGGAGTCTACTTCAGGTAAATTATTTGTATTATTCATCTTTGACAGATTTTTTACCAAGGCAAATAAATATAATTTTATACCGGCTAAGCAGGTTTCCTTTTATATGTCGAAGATTTCATATTTAAAAAAAACGTTCATTTGTTCTAGTCTAAGCTGTTTTTAAGTTAATTAACGAGCTCATCTTAAAAATGTGAATTGTTAAGGCTTGAAAGAGACCTGTACGCCCGGACAGATCAGTTCGGTGTGGAGATTAGAGAGAGGCTCAAGTGGGATATCAGAGAAGGAATGGTAGGAAAAATATATAATAAAATTTCCAATTCTAAATCTTTCATTCATAATTTCTGTTCTCGCCTAAAGTATGCTTTTTATAATTTACACCATAAAAACATTTACCCTCCCCCCCATTCCAAAATACTCGAATTGTACTCTTTTTAATTATTGTTTAAAAAATGTAGGTTGGTACTGACACTTTTGAGCCGAAACATGCTATAATTGCAACATGGAAAAACGTCTCGTTTGCAGGCGGTATAGCTAGTGCTAGGAGAACGGTAAACCTTATTTAAATTCCTTTAAGCGTGCAGTGGGGCCCATGATAAATATGTTATGTAGTGAGTAAAAATCAATGTTTTCTATTTGTGCATAATTTTGCATATTTTTTCTCTTTTCTTTTGGAAACCTGTATTTTCAAAAAAATCTATTTAAACAAATTTAAACTACACCATTTATATACAGGGTGTCCCACGAAACATGACAGTATGCAGGACGACTTGAATGTCGTCTTGATTTTTGAAATAATTTGCTGCGTTTATTTGTCAATCTAATTTTAGAAGTAAATTTCTAGAGATATTAATCACAAAATTTCCCTTGTCCTGCCATTTCCAAAATGTGGTCTGCCTTTTTTGTGCTTTCAATATTGCCCGAGATAGGAAGAATTTCGTTCAGATTTCGACAATTTTGCTTTTATTTAACAAAATTGAAATCTGAACCAAACTCTTTATATCTCCGGTAATATTGAAAGCACAAAAAACGCAGACCACTTTTTGGAAATGCCAGGGCTAGGAGAATTATGTGATAATTGTTTCAAGAATCATACATGTTAAAGTAGATAGAAGACTAAATGTCACAAATAAATTCACATACCAAAGACGACTTTCAAGTCGTCTTCCTATTGTCATGTTTCGTGGGACACCCTGTATGTATTTATATCTTTGTGTGTGAATAAATCTATAAAAAATTCCGGAATAGGAAAACAATGTTTTAGCCGCAACTGTGATGTATAGCAAACCATCAGCAGCGTGAAAAATCAAATTATTAGATAAAAAGAATTGTTTTGTGTAATGTGTATATACTGCACAGATGCTGTGTTTCGTGTTCAACCTTTTGTCGTCTCCTTTTCCCAGAGTTTTACAGGTCACACTGTATAGTATATCTATGAGCGGTTGATATTAAAGTTTGGGGAAGAAAGCTACGAAACGAAATGAAATTTCTTAAACTTATTTCACGTAAAATCGTATTTTTAAATAATGAGCGAAACATGCTGAAGATTATCAGCTATAATTTAAGTTCAAAAATCAGGAAACCATTCGATTATATTATATATATATTATTATATATTCGGTTTTCTTTACCATTTGGTTTTATTTGATCAAACTGCAGTCTGCAGTCTGCACGTTCATTCTTGAATTTGAACATTTAAATTGTTTTCTCTTAGACAAATACGTTCCAAGCTGTGATAGTTACTGACGAGGTTCGAACCTATGCAATATTTATGTATGAATGGATGGGCTGGACCACACATACAGAGGTAAAATTAATTCAAAGAAAAATTTATTTAAATGTCGTCTTCTAAATCATATTTCTCATGAATTCGTCACACAGTAATAAATTTCTCGAAAAATATATTGCTTTAACGAACTGTGATGTCACAGCTATTGTTGTGAAAGATACATTTTTATTTCTCAAAGACGACATTTGATTTTGATTTTTTTCTATTTCTAAAAAAGTTAATCAAAGGCAGGAGGGGACACAACAGAAGGACAAGGAGGTGTTCCCGCATTTGTTGGATTCAACGCAGGTAAAATTCTTTTTCTTCTTCTGAATTTTAGAGTTTAAAACAAAGGATTATACTGTAAAGACGACTTACATATAATGTGAAATTATAGTCTTTTAAAGGACTATTTAACCCTATCCCGATTGAGATATTTTTGTCTAATATAGATGGGGGGGGGGTGTTTTCCATCCCTCCCCTCCCATTGACAAATATTAACACATGAAACATGTTATTTTATCCATTTTTTATGGTCTTTTCAAATATATAAGTCTTATCCCTGTGGGCTAATTATTAAAAAAGTTATTAACCATTTCTGTTTTTTTAAAACACCAACCTGCCGTTTGATCAATCTCCACCCTACCCTATGCATCAAAAAAATTTTAGCAAAACTTGTTTACAGCTTTGATATTGAAAAAGTAAATAAGTTTTAGCGTTCAGTTATTCAAAATAAACCGCAGGGGGGAACCCCCCCCCCCCCACCTGACAGGGTTAATGATTAGGCAAAGAAAGTTCAGGTTTTAAAGGATCGAGCAAGGGAAACAAATATTATAAATGTCGTACAGTCGTCTTGGAAGTTTCATCCTTTTGTGGGTAACCAGCTGTATATACTAAATAATTAGCAAAACAATCCAAAAACCCGCAACCCCGAAGGACAATTAATCTTCAGTCCATTTTGAACAGGAATGAAAGAAGTGCAAAGTTATTAATAATTTATATTTCATAATTTCGTACCCCATTTTAGATTTGTGAAAAGTAATTTTATTTAGGGAACGGAACTAAAGCTTATGAATATCTTCCTTATTCTCAGACAACATACGTCAGGTTTTATATTTTTTTATTCATTCGCATGAGATACTAGATCGACAGTACACATGAGATATTAGATCGACAGTACATATGAGATATTAGATAGATAGTACACATAAAATGTTAAATCGACAGTACATATGAGTTATTATTTATATATATATATATATATATATATATATATATATATAGGTGTATTCCTTCCAACAATACCTTAGAAACTATTAAAACTATCTAGACAATATTTTTGCATGAACACCATGTTTAAGTATATAAATATAGGTGTAATCCTTCCAATAATACCTTAGAACTATCTAAATTAAAACTATCTAGACAATATATTTGCATGAATACCATGTGTTTCGCGACCTATTTCGCGAGCTAGATATAAGTCAAGTCGCCCCTGTCAAGGTCTTTGAGTTGCCCCTGAAGTTCATACTGTGTCTGAAGCTGCATTATGTAAAGTTCTGAGCACAAACTAGTTTATGTAAAATAATTGANGAATGTAGATTGAATGTTTAGAAACATTAGGATGAAAAAAGGGGGTGTGTAAAATTATATTATTATAATATATAATTATATAATATTAATATTAATAAACGGTTCATGTTCCATTGTACCATATTTTTTTACAATTGGATTGATATATTTAAGTTGGAACAAATCTGCCTCTTGTGTTTGCTCCTGAGAATGGAAATATGTTGGGAGGGACGCAGGTCAATTTTACAGGACCTTGCTTCAAACCTGGGATGCGGGTCACATGCAGGTACATTGCTCACCGGAAAACAATGGTGTTATTGTCGTCTCCGTTCTTTTGTTATTAAATGTCGTCATGGTTTTGATAATTGTAATTGTAGCAAATAGAAATTGTAGTACCGTTCATGAATTAAATCACGACCTGTCCCTTTAATAAATCAAAATGTTGGTTTGTATCTTTAATAAATCAAAAAGATGTTTTGTACCTTAAAAAAAATCAAAATGGTGGTCTGTATTTCAAAAATTCAAAACATGTCCTATTTACCTTAAAGAAATCAAAATGGTGGTTTGTACCTTTAAGAAATCAAAATTGACAAGTATATAATAATTCCTCTTTTATTTCCCATGACGGTCATATACCCTGCAGGAGTAACTTTATTCTAGACAGTAACCATTGATCCTTGAATAAAAGTACCCGCATTGGATATCGAGATCAAGTGTGTCAAGATTAACTGTATCTACACAAAAATTCCGAAATTGGAAAATTTAGCAACATTGTTCAATATGCACAATTAATAAGCAATGCCGTTTTATTTTTTTAAAAATTAAAGATTTTGTTTTTAGATTTAACACGAAGGATTCTGAAGGTGTAGTTTTGAATGAGAATATAGCAACCTGTATAATGCCCTGGGTTGAGGCCGAAGGCTGGGTAGATTTCGAGGTCTCCTTAAACGGAGGACCTTTTCTTTGGAAGGGACAATTTTTTGTAGGTAAACATTTACTCTTTTCAAGAAACAAAATCTTTTTTTTAAAGAAAGTTAATTAAACCAATTCTCAAAAGAAATACTCTAATGTTCGTCAGCTAGTTAGACTTAAGACTGAGCTTGTAAATCGCGGATCAGAACCGGTAAAATAAAAAACTGCATCAAAGTTTAGAGTTATTTGTAACTTAAAATGTTTTCTTTAGAGACCCCAGCTGTGAGCCCTACCATGGTTTGGTTTAAAGATGAATCTTACCACCAGGGATGGGCATCTTGTTTTTAATCGTTTTTAAAAATCTTTTTTGTTAATATATCTTTTTGCCAGGGTGACAAATTTTAGATTTTAATGAAAGGAAACTTATTGAGCATACAATTTTGAAATAGAATACTACAATTAAATTCTTTTGAAGTCTCTTGAAAGTTTAAAAACGTTAAATGTTTAAAAACTAGCCTGAAAACGATGCCTATTCCAAACCATCAGCTTGCCCCCGCCAGCCTGGAGGTCAACTGGGATCCATTCAATCTTACTATGAGAGCAGATGCAAAGGTTGGTTGGTATATTGACAACAAATATACTGACAACAAATATATTGACAACAAATATATCATCAACAAATATATTGACAACAAATAAACTGACAACAAATATATTTACTACAAATATACTGACAACAAATATATTGACAACAAATATATTTAATAACAAATATACTAACAACAAATATATTAACAACAAATATACTGACAACTAATTTATTGACAACAAATATATCATCAACAAATATATTGACAACAAATAAACTGACAACAAATATATTAACAACAAATATACTGACAACTAATTTATTTCCAACAAATATATTGACAACAAATATACTGACAACAAATATGTTGATAACGAATATATTGACAACAAATATGTTGATAACAAATTTAATTGTCCCTGAGTAAATTGATTCATTGAAAACAAATATATTGACTGCAAATATTTTAACAAACATTTTTTTAAAAGATTTTTTTGGGTCTTACCTATCTTATTTGTGTAAGCAAAAATTTTCAAAATTTTTCTTTAATTCAAAAAAAATTAAAAAATTTATGGATTGAATTTTCGTGATAAAGAATTTAATTAAAAACTATTTTTATATTTGCAGGTTCAAATATCTTTATGGGGATATAAGGAGGACTCTATAGATCCTCAGCTCATCTATATTGATACTTTAGAGCCTAGTGTTGCAAACAGTGGAAAGGTAAAGATAGTGAAATGGATTAAGTTGGTTAGTTTTTTGCATAAATTATTCTGAACACTTAAGTTTTTTTGTATTATGCCAAATTTGGACCCTGACAAGAAATATATGCAAAAACGATCCAAAAACGATCGTGTTACAACGATCGTTTTTGAATTGTTTTCTATTTTTTTTTAGGAAAAAAATATTTCAAAGTTTTATAAACTATGAAACTACAAACAAACTAGAGGCGTAACTAGTTTGTATTTTAGAAGGGGGGGGGGCGCCGCCGCCCCCCCCCTTATAAAATTGAAAGAAGAATGGCAAAAATCAATTTTTAGAAAAAAAACACTAACATTTTTTTTGGCGCTTAGACCATCATTTATAATAGAAATTCTTACTATTTTCTCCTTTTTTAATTTATAGAAAGTCAGTCTAATAAAAAACTGGTTTAGGCCACCTTGACACCGAAGACGTATGCCACCAAGGACAATGGTCCCCTAGCTCGATCCTGTCAAGTTGGTTTACTCATGATTAACTTAACCCAACCACTCTCTGTTGTTGGGATGTCAAATTCACCGTAAGTATATAGAACACAATCAACAATCAAAGGAAATTAGGATAAAAAAAGTTTAAATGACATATTAGATTTTAAAACTATCAATGATTAAGAAAAAATGAAGTTATCTAATCCCAATATCTTTGAAATCTGTTGGCGTAAACCTTTGATATTGCAAACTTAGATTTAATTCCTTTGCATAAAAGAAAAAACATAAAAAAAGTTGTAATTATTAGAAATTTATGAAAACATTTTCTGTATCTAGTATGATCTGGTCCCGCCCTATACCTCTGGGTTGGTATTTTAACGAGCAGTGGAGGCGTTTCTTAGGTAGGACATAGACTTCTTAGTTCTTTTCATAGTGTGTTAGATCATAAAGGGTTAATAGCTTGTTTGTTATTGATTGCTCGTTCGCTATGTGCTATGTGGTCTATGTGCAACGCTATATATTTATAGGCAATAACTGGGTGGAGCAGCAATGTGATAATTTTATCAAGGAGGATCGATGGCTCAAGAACTTTGCAGCAGAACTGCCAGTGGTAATATTTTAAAGAAAAACCATCCTAAAGAGACTGTTCACGTAATTTCATGTGACCCTCTATTTAAAGGAAGTCATGCCCGATACAAAACGAACGGTACAACTTTTAAACCTTTGTCTGAGAAAAAATGATGGATTTATTCTTTTTCTTTTTTTCTGCGAAATGATCATTTTCAATCGCGGGTTTTCTATAAAAATTACATGCGGATTTTTGACTTCAAAACAAGGAAGGAAATAGTAAGAATAAATCACTCTTTAAGTTAGAAAAACGACAACATCCTCTACAATATATCTGATGAAGGGGTAACAATGTAAATCGGTAATAGCACTCTGTAAATGGAGGATCACTTGAAATTACAACGCAAATATCGAATGCACTAAAGTTGCACAATATTGTTTTTCTGCATGGTTCTCGTAAAAATATTTAAAAACATTTACTTTAAATGAATTATAAAAAGTGCATTGTTTATGTTAGTTTTAAAAACTTGTTTGGAAGGGGGGGCATTGGAATTGGTCTATATCAGGTGTATTTTGGAAGGGGGGCATTGGTATTGGTCATATCAGGTGTATCAGGTGCCCATCCTTTTATTAGAGATATTTGTTTTAACAAAGAAAAAGAAAATTTAAATTTCTTTTTATTTAAATCGAGTTCTTTTTAGTGTCCTTGTCTTCTTCGTCAAGCAACAGTTGACAGAGGAAGGTTTGCTCCAGACTTTGAATGTGACCAAGATGGAAATACACAGGTGAATAAAATATAAAAACATTTGAAAATATGCTTGTAGAGATATATTTTGTTAAACTCTACCTTCAAGCCAAAAATCGTCTGTTTTATATTATCCTTGTCTGAAAAGTCTGTTATATTTCACTATTTCAGAAAATCTATTAAACTAATAAAATGAAAGTCTATAAATTGTTGTCTAAAATGTGATTTTTTAAATATTCTTTCTTTTTTTAAAAAGTTTTTTTTGCTCTAACCAGAAAATAAAAGTCAATTGTTATTGTTCGTTCAGAAGAAAATTAACTTTACAATCTGTTTTTTTATAGATGCATATAATTTCTTCAGATAATCTGTGATTTATGCTATAATTTAGCTTTTCAGAATATTTTTTCTCCACAAAAAAGTTCTTTTGTTTTTGTTGAAAAATATCTTTAAAATGAAAAATGTTATTAAGCTTTCATTTTGTTCTTAAATATTTTCCGTGAGTTCGAAATTAATTTTTCTTTAAGATATTTTTGGTTGAGCGTATAAAATTTTTATTCTCAGTTCTTGAAAAAATAGAAAACTTTTGTATTTTTATAAATCTATTCATGACAAAAAAATCATAATTTTTGTTAAGTCATGATGGAGCTGGTCAGCAGTGTTGTTATGATCTGGCAGGAATACTCATGATGACATCAGATAATAAATGGGGAGGAAACCCTATGAGGTAAAACACCTTAGTCTCCAGTAAAGTAAATTTCACATACTTTTTTTCACCGGAATTCCGGCTTATTGTTTACTTAGGGAGTTAATCCCAATATATTTCCCTTTCCAGTTTGGCAAAGGTTCCATAAATTACGAAACGAGTTTTTCCACTTAAACCGGAAATGGCACCGGAAACGTCTCCGGGTTATGTAACTGGAATAGTACTAAACGCAATGAGCCAAAGCCTCAAACTTATGAATAATCACAGATCTGAGTTGTAATTATCCATTGGACCTACGTTCGGAGTTTTGAGAGATTAGTTAGTCCGGCGTATTCTGACTTATTTCAATATTTACAGAGCTAAAAATATTAAATTCAAAAGATCGAAAAAGTTGCCACATGTAAAACCCCTCACCCCCCTTTACTTAATTTTATGGAACAATGTATATAGTTTTCCAAATCAATATAAATTTACTCACACAACTAATTATTAAAAGTAAACTATACCTGTAGAAATGTTGTTAAAATACAATGACATTAAACTAAGAAATTTTACTTAGATTCTTGCTTTCGAATCTGTAATCTTGTTTTACTTTGTTTAAACATTTAGAAAACATTTTAAATTAATTTTACTTTTTTGATGTGTTGTCGGTCGTTATAAAAGTCTCATCAATTATGAGTCACCCTACCCTGTATTAAATATGTTTAGGTATCATGATTTGGGTGTTCTACCGTGGAACGAAGCAAGTAAAATTCCAACATTATCTCATTTCCTACAGGTTGGTTATATCATATTATGTAATTATAAAGGGTATAATTAAGTGCGAACAAGTTTTTGCCGGGATTTTTATTTTTTCTAGTTTGTTTAAGATCAAAATGAAAGTATTTTCACACCGAAAGTAGTGAGGTATTAAAATACTTTTATTTTTATTCGATTTTACTCAAAAGCAGGTTGATAAAGTTACTTAATCACCCTGTTGTAGGGTGATTAAGTAACTTTATCACCCTACAATGAGGAAAATTAGGTATGAAATTTGAAATTTTAATAGCAGGGTGAAAAGTTGTAGGGCGATAAAATCACTTAATCACCCTTCAACGGGAAATATTAGGTGTGATTAGTTCCATCAAAATTGAATAAAACAAGTTAATTAATCAAACAATTTATTAAATTAAAGAGACTGTCCGCGATCTTTAAAGGGATCTCTAGTTAAAGCGTACATTTTATGGTTTGAGAGATTAAAGGTACCCTTTAATCTCTCAAACAATCATAATATTTTCACATATAAAATCCTTGGAATCTGCGAACCAAAAAAATTTGCAATAATTATTAAAAATGAAACAGGTTTTTGAACAAAATTAACATTTTCTCCTCTCTTACGATCCTAAAAAATGTTTTGTTTGCATTGGGGAGAAACTGCGGGAGAAAATTTTGATTTATTATGTCATTTTTTTGCGGGAATAGTTATATTAAAATTTCTTGGAATTTTTTCCTTAAAGTCTTAGAAAAAAAACATTTGGGTCGGTCTTATCAAAAAAGAGTGTCATATTTTACCACTTTAGTATGTTAAATCCTAAACATTCTATTTAAAGATCCTTATAACATATAAATAGTAAAATTTACAACAAATTAATAATAATTATTTTTAGATTTGAAAGGCGAGCATCCCAGGACTGTGTAGGGTATCAGCCGCCAGGAGGAGGTGAAATTATTAGCTTTAAAAAACATTATCATAAATTCATATTTTACATACTGATAGGGTGTCTCTTAAAAAATGAGACGTTCTTCTTTTTAGTCAGTCAAAGTGCTTTTTTACATTTTTTTTACGCAAAGGGTAATGTATAATGCATAATATTTATTGGTAAAAAAATAAATTTTAGTTTCAAAATTTGTTTATCCAATTTTTTTAGCATTTTTTAAATGAGCCATTAACGATTATTTGATGTAAAATGGGAGCAATGAACTTATATGAGATTATGTATATATACAGGGATGAACCCTGGTTGGGTTCACATTAAGTAGAGAAATTAACGAAAGTTGCTGTTATTTTGAAACATATCTGTTCCTTATATTTTGTAGACTGTTATTTTATATTCAAGACCAGCTATTTCCATTTGTTAACGATTTAGAAATTAACGGTTTTGCCATTTGTTAACGGACTCTTTCGTTAATTTTTTAAGAGTTTGCCGGTCATTAACGAAACGTAGGGTTAGAAGAGGAAATGAAGTGGAAACAAAAATTTTCTAATTTCCTAATTTTTACATCTTTACAATTTTTTCATTTAGCACTTGAAAATACAACTATTTGATCTGTGTCGGAAAATAAGAAAAATTGAGTTTAACTGGAATGTTTAGTATCTTTTAAAAATAACTAATTTCTGTGTTTTTTTAAGCAACTGTATTTGGTGACCCCCATGTTTATACATTTGACCACATGGACTACACCTTCAACGGGTTGGGGGAGTACGTGTTGGTCAGAGCAGATTCTCCTAGAGTTAAGATTGATGTTCAGGTTACTCAAGTTTATCCTAGACTAGCAAGGAAACCCAGCTTTAAGCATTATAATATTCAAATAATGAAATTAGTCCTATGATAAAATTCAATACAGTTAGTAGCTAAAAATATAATTTTTTTCATCTAGTTTTCTTTTCTTATTTTGAGAACTGTGCTACTAGCTAGTATATCAACTATATATTATTATAGTAGGGAAGGTTTGAACAAGTGAATGATAGCCCTTATGGAACTCTACTAGCTAGTATATCAACTATATATATTATTATATTAGGGAAGGTTTGAACAAGTGAATGATAGCCCCTATGGAATTGTACTAGCTAGTATATCAACTATATATAATTATATTAGGGAAGGTTTGAACAAGTGAATGATAGCCCCTATGGAACTGTACTAGCTAGTATGTTAACTATATATTATTATATTAGGGAAGGTTTGAACAAGTAAATGATAGTCCCTATGGAACTGTGCTCGCTAGTATGTTAACTGCTGTGGCTGCTAAGGATAACTTCTCGGCCACTGTCGAAGTAAGTTTATAAAATATAAAAAAAAACAAGAACGTCAAATGTTTTTATCCCTAAATCTTGAAACCCTGATGATGAAAACTTTTGATATTTTGAATTTGGACTATTTGATTTAACATAATTCATTTTCATTTTGAATTTAAGGGTAGTAATCAATTTTTACGAAGCTTTCACATACGTAATAGGGTTTCAAAAGAAACAAGAAATTCAATTTTACTCAATTTTTAAAACAGCCTACAATTTTTAAGTATGGTACTATATATATGTTATATCTAGGTTTAAAAATAAAAATTTTAATGTTCTTTTTGCACTGTTGGGTGTAGATAAAACAGGAGTTGAATGATTTTTAATTAATATTGCAGGTTCGAATGAGACCTGCATATGCACAATGGAGATACAAGCTTGATGTTCTTGTAGATGGAAGATATATTTATTTTGACAGGTAACCAATTTAGAAACTGACAAGAGAAACTAACTAGAGAAACTGACAAGAGAAACTAACTAGAGAAACTGACAAGAGAAACTGACAAGAGAAACTGACAAGAGAAACTGACAAGAGAAACTGACAAGAGAAACTGACAAGAGAAACTGACAAGAGAAACTGACAAGCGAAACTGACAAGAGAAACTGACAAGAGAAACTGACAAGAGAAACTGACAAGAGAAACTGACAAGCGAAACCCTTTGGATTGGGTTTTACACTAAAAAGAGTGGGAAATTGTATTTTGTTGCAGAAAAAGATTTAAAAAAGTGTTCTCTTATTAAAAATTAAATTGAAGTTATGCTGAAAAATTATTTTTAAAAAAAGTATTTTTTATTTTCCACTCCAGGCATCCTCAGAAAATTCAACATTTCCCCGGGGTCACTGTGTACACACCTAGTAATATACTCAACCAGAGTCACGTGGTCATGATGTTTCAGGTTAGTACAATTTTTTTAAGTATCATTAATTTCAAGTAACTCGCCGTTTTTAGAGTGGCATATACGATTCAAGGTACTCTCAAATAATAACGTAAATATCCTTATTCTTAAATACCTAAAAATGGAGCTTTGTTAAATTGTTAACCACTACGATTTCCGGTCTCTAAGTCTTCAAACTTAAAAGTTAATTTTTACTATAATTTCAAAATTATTATTTTTTGTTGTTTAATTTGTCAATGCTTCATATAAGATTTATTTTAATAATAAAGAGTGTGGAATTAATATTTTTCAAAGTTTTCATTCAAGCTTTTATAAAAAAAAACATTTTTAACGATCTCCATATAATTTTTTTACGAATTAATTCATAAATTCATTATTAACAACGGGGCTTAAAAACTGGTTCTCTGGTTTTCTGGTTTTCTAGTTTTCAAGTTTTCTAGTTTTCTAGTTTTCTAGTTTTCTAGTTTTCTAGTTCTTTTCGTTTTTTTCGTTTTTTCATTATTATGTTTATGCATTTGTATTTATTATTATTGTATTAACTACACTTAAACATTTTTTTTATTTGTCTAGTCCGGAGCAGGAGTAGAGGTTATAGAGAACAAACATTATATGGCAACAAGGGTTTATCTTCCTTGGCAGTTTATTGTAAGTAAAATTTCACAATTTTTCACTTTAGTAATTCCCTTTCCATCCTACACTATAATTTCATGTCAACAAATTATTTATTTCTGTTAAAACTTTTTTGTGGTGCATCAACGAAACTTAAACCTCTAATGTTCTATTACAGTGGTAGCCTATTAAAGTAATACAATGAAGACGACTTTTTATTAATAATGCTTTGATCCTTAACAAGCCATTTTCAAATTACAAATTTAAAAGTAAAGAAAGAGAACTTAAGAAGCTGTTCATTGACAACTTCTCTTAGATTAAATGTTTAAGCTTGGTAGAAATCAAAATTTAAATAGAAATTCGTCTTTGATATTGAAATTTTGACTGTTAGATTTAACAGAATATATATTTTGAAATTTTAAAGGCCTTTGCCCTCATGATTGTAAGCAATTATAAAATAGAGTTAGCGACAATCGTTATAAGTTTCTTATAAGGTTTTTTATTTAGAATTAAAAACATTTTATTCCTTTAAAAAAGCTTTTATAATTGTTAAATGATAATTGATCAGTTTATTGTTCTAGAATCAAACAAGAGGGTTGATGGGGAACTGGACGTTTGATAAACTGGACGATTTTACACTGCCAAATGGTGACGAGAGAAGTTTTGGAACGGATAATACACAGCTTAGTCGGATTCATAACGAATTCGCAGAACAATGTAAGGGGATTTAGGAACATAATCAAGAGGATTTAGGAACATAATCAAGGGGATTTAGGAACATAATCAAGGGAATTTAGGAACACAATCTACTGGAAATAGCTTTAAAGGGACTTTAAACCTAATTTCAATTAAATATTTACATGCCTGATTCACAACAGTACCTTACCCTTTATCTGAACAATGCTGAGGAAAATATCATAATTATCCTAAAATGTGTTTAATTTGTTGATTTCCTTCTTTGCTGCATACTCCCGCAAGTAACTTTTAGCAGGAAGTTACAATTTAGAGTTAAAATGATTCATTTTCAGATAAGATTCATATTTTAGCTCATACAAAGGTTTATAGGGTATCAAATTAAATCGGATACGCAACCTAAGATTCAATATAATAGGATGGAAAATATGTATTTGAAAATTTGTTATTTTCTTAAATTTTCAACAAAAACATCTTTCAGGGGTGGTTCGTGATAAAGAAGTGACAAATGTTGGAAGATCCCTGTTTTTCCATGAAAACGGGCGTTCCTCTAATTTCTTCTACAGGAGTAACTGGATACCAGAGTTCGATATTCTTCCAGAAATACCAGAAAATGTGTAAGTTGATTTTTAAGATAAAAATGTTGATATTTCAAGATCAAATATTGATTTTTCAAGATCAAATATTGATTTTCAAGATCAAATATTGATTTTCAAGATCAAATATTGATATTTCAAGATCAAATATTGATATTTCAAGATCAAAAATTGATTTTTCAAGGTCAAATATTGATTTTTCAAGATCAAATATTGATTTTGAATAATCAAATATTGATTTTCAAGATCAAATATTGATTTTTCAAGGTCAAATGAAGATTTTTCAAGATCAAATATTGATTTTTCAAGATCAAAAATTGGTTTTTCAAGATCAAATATTGATTTTTAAGATCAAATATTGATTTTTCAAGATCAAATATTGATTTTTCAAGATCAAATATTGATTTTTCAAGATCAAATATTGATTTTCAAGATCAAATATTGATTTTTCAAGATCAAATATTGATTTTTCAAGATCAAATATTGATTTTCAAGATCAAATATTGATTTTTCAAGATCGAATATTGATTTTTCAAGATCAAATATTGATTTTTCAGGATAAAATATTGATTTTTCAAGATCTAATATTGGTTTTTCAAGATCTAATATTGATTTTTCAAGATCAAATATGAATTTTTCAAGATCAAATATTGATTTTTCAAGATCAAATATTGATTTTTCAAGATCAAATATCGGTTTTTCAAGATCTAATATTGATTTTTAAGATCAAATATTGATTTTGCAAGATCAAATATTTATTTTCAAGATCAAATATTGATTTTTCAAGATCAAATGTTGATTTTTCAGGATAAAATATTGATTTTTCAAGATCTAATATTGGTTTTTCAAGATCTAATATTGATTTTTCAAGATCAGATATGAATTTTTCAAGATCAAATATTGATTTTTCAAGATCAAATATTGATTTTTAAAGATCAAATATTGGTTTTTCAAGATCTAATATTGATTTTTAAGATCAAATATTGATTTTTCAAGATCAAATATTTATTTTCAATATCAAATATTGATTTTTCAGGATCAAATATTGATTTTCAGAATCAAATATTGATTTTTTAAGATCAAATATTGATTTTTCAAGATCAAATATTGATTTTTCAGGATAAAATATTGATTTTTCAAGATCTAATATTGGTGTTTTCAAGATCTAATATTGATTTTTCAAGATCAGATATGAATTTTTCAAGATCAAATATTGATTTTTCAAGATCAAATATTGATTATTCAAGATCAAATATTGATTTTTCAAGATCAAATATTGTTTTTTAAAAATCAAATATTGGTTTTTCAAGATCTAATATTGATTTTTAAGATCCAATATTGATTTTTCAAGATCAAATATTGATTTTTCAAGTTCAAATATTGATTTATAAGATCAACTATTGATTTTTCAAGATCAAATATCGATTTTTCAAGATCAAATATTGATTTTTCAGGATAAAATATTGATTTTTCAAGATCTAAAATAGGTTTGTCAGATCTAATATTGATTTTTCAAGATCGAATATTGATTTGTCAAGATCAAATATTGATTTTTCAAGATCGAATATTGATTTTTAAAGATCAAATATTGATTTTCAAGATCGAATATTGATTTTTAAAGATCAAATATTGATTTTCAAGATCAAATATTAATTTTCAAGATCAAATAATAATTTTTCAAGGTCAAATATTGATTTTTCAAGATCAAATATTGATTTTTCAAGATCTAATATTGATTTTTCAAGATCAAATATTGATTTTGAAGAACAAATATTGATTTTTCAAGATCAAATATTGATTTTTCAAAAAAAAATATTAATTTTTCAAGATCAAATATTGATTTTTAAGGTCGAATATTGAGTTTTCAAGATCAAATATTGATTTTCAAGATCAAAATCAAGGCTAAATATTAATTTCTATAGATTGAGCATCGAATTTTAGAGATGAAACATTATTCTTTTTCAGATGAAACATTGATTTTTCAAGATTAAATATTTTTTTTATTAAATATGGATTTCTTAAGGTCAAATAGATCAATAGTGTGTTTTCAAAATCAAACATTGATTTTTAGATCAACTATTGATTTCCTACGAATAATCATTTTTTTTTTATCAACTATATATAATATATATATATGCATGCATATTTTATACCCTGCTTAGGACCTGGGTCAACAGTAAACTGGTTGAAGATATTTGTGGAGATAGTTACCAGTGTAAATATGATTACTCAACAACGCTTAGTAAGGTATAATTACAGTTATCAGTGTAAATATGGTTACTCAACAACGCTTAGTAAGGTATAATTACAATTATCAGTGTAAATATGGTTACTCAAAAGCGGTTTTTAAGTACAGGGTTGCCACAAAGGATTAGATTTGTAACGACGTACAGTCGTCTCTACAGTCTCAATCTTTGTGTAACCCTTTTTTATCTTTTTGAGTAAAATTATTATATATTTCATATTTTTAAATATTTTAGGAGTTTGCAATATTCACCAAATATTACCAGGACCAGTTTATCAATATATACGAAGGAGTGCTCAAACCAGGAGCAAGGGTTAGATAATTTTATATTTTAATACTTATAAAAACAATTTTTTTTGTTATTAAAATTTTAAAAGAGGTTTTTTTCCTTTACCAACTTTTTTTCTAAAATTAGTTGAAGGGAAAAACCCTTATTGAAGTAATGTAAAAATTCTTTTCTGGAAATATATTTAAATTCTTTTAAGTTGTGAAATCATCAAGGAATACTTCAGGATTTATTTTTCTTCTCTAACTCAAATTTTCATGATGCATTTATTAAATTAAAGAATTGATATATTTCCCCATTGCCAGGTTATATCCTGCGGTCAATTGGTGACACCGTCTAATGGAAGAAAATCTACCTTTGCTTTCACCCCTGGCACTATGGTCAAATTTGACTGTGATCCTGGGTTAGTATTATTTAAGAAGAGGTTGAATACTATTTGGGAGGCTTCAGAAATAAAACTTAAAGAGAGTGACCGGCTATGTAAGGTAGTTGAACTGAGTATGCAGTGTTGTGGAAAACTTCTTTCGGATTCATTTGAGACATTCGTTTTTATTATTATATTGAATTTTTTATTTTCTTTGAATTTATACGCAGATTTCTTCAAATTCTTCAAATGTCGTTTTTTCAATAATAAATCTAGAAAATCTTCAAAAATCTTTGTGAATAATAAGAAACCAGAATAATGAGAAAATATAAACTAATAATTGAACAAGAGAACTTATTTTCGATGATAAGATTAATTTTTATTTTCTCAACATGTTTCTATACATGACGTCCGTAGTTTATCGTAGAACTTTTTTACAATTTATGTCGTCGTTATTTAGTAATTAAAAAAAGACTAATTCTGAAAACATATCCACCCCCAAAGTAGGAGTTTTGAACGTCGAATTTGCACTCAAACTCAGGATTTACAGATCTTAAAAAAGTTTAATATGTCTCAAATGAATCCGAAAGAAGTTTTCCACAACACTGCATACTCAGTTCAACTACCTTATATAGCCGGTCACTATAGAAATATTTATCT